TGTAGTTATCTGGGAAATTATTTCTGTTTTAAATTTTTCTAGAGCCTCATTCATCTGTTTTGTTAATTCCTGTGCTATCAGTTCAGGGTGTCCAGGTGGTTGATTATCAGACTTTTCCACCCCATTTCCCCTAGAATTTGCCTTTGGTGGTCTGGAAATCTGGGTTTGTGCCATGTGTAAATGTCTTCTCATTTCTGTTTTTGTTGTTGGTACTGTCCTTGGTTTAATTCCTGGGTTGATACTTCGCTATTGCTTATCATAAGTATCTTCGTTGCTTATATTTAGAACCCTTAACAGAATGGTTGCTTCTCAGCGGTGTCTTCCAGACACAGCTGGTCTTTGCATTTTGAGTCTCTAATGACTCTGAAGCCATCTCATTTTCCTTATATCAGGAAGGACAACTAATTAGATCAATCATAACACCTTAGCCCAAGTGATACAATCAGCAACACAATAGCATCAAGCACAGCTTAGAAAATAACAATTTGTGGTAGTTATACTAAACTATCACCTTTAACTGTGTGAATTTAATGAAAATTGAGGACCAGCACAAAATATGTTTATAGTGAATGAACTCTTCAATATAGCAACTTTACCCTTCAAGATGGGGACTTAGGATTTGGGGAAGGAGGGATAGATAGGTAGAAGGATAGGGAAAGGTTATCAGTGAGGCCAAAGGACAGAGGAAGATCATACAAACTCTAGGAGACTGTTGAAGACAAGAGAAAAAGACAATGAAAGAACAAAGATGAGAACAAAACAAGCTAACAGCAGTAGGGAGGCTAGAAACTGTATTTACTTTCCTTTAAAACTAATGACAATCAAGAGAAGGAAACAGAGAAGAAAAGAAAACGAAAGAAGAAATCTGAATTAGGGCCAGAACAGGAACAAAAAGGGAGATGAAGAACAATGTGGGAGAGCGAGAGAGCAAGAGAATGAGCGAGAGAAAAAAAGAAAAGAAAAAGAAAAATTTGAAGAGTAGAAAAAAATAAAAATTAAAAATTAAAAATAAGAGAGAAAAATAATTTTGAGACTAACAAAAAATAAAAATGAAGGGCCTCCTTCAGGGTATGTCTCTGCTGTCACAGTAGACAATGTGGATACCAGTGTGCAGATATAAGTCAATTAGTCTTAGCAAGCCAGTAGCAGACCCGTGAGATTCAGGCTGATTTCTGTCTGCAAGTCCCAAGTTGAGCTCCCTGCCCTCCTGCAGGGTTGAACTCTGCAAGGTTCTACTGCAGGTTCCAGCTGCCCTTCCCCTTAAGATAGTCCAGGTTCCGATGGGAGATGATCATCCCTCCAATTTACCACCTACGGTGGACTGGTGTGCCTTTATTGCAGAGATTCTCTTCACTTTTCCAGTGGGCCTCAGTTTTCGTCAAGGAGCCTGAGAGAGGCCTCTTTCTGTTGTTCACTTCTGCTCTATCTTCTGGAGCTCAGAACAATGGGATTTATGACCCCCTGTGCCTCTGCAGTGTGGAACCAGGTACCTACACAGCCAGGAGGCCAGAGGTGGAGGGGGTGCCTGGGGTGGTGCTGCAAACTAGTAGCTGGGAGGCAGAGTAGGGGCTCCAGGTGGCTGAAGTCCTCCTGTAGTCCTTAATGAAGTCATTTTCTCTGCTTAAGACGCTGTCTAGTCAGAGAAGCATGTGAAATACACAGTTTAGAAAGAATTCCACTTAATATGATTTCTTTTCAAAATGTATTTTTGATGCTTGCTTTTCCTAAGAACAAACAAAGCGAGCCAGGTGTGGTAATACATGTCTACAATCACATTACTTGGGAGGCTGAGACAGGAGGATTCCAATGAGTTTGAGGACAGCTTGAACTACATAGCAAGACCCTGTCTCAAAAAAACAAAAAGAAGAAAGAAAACAAACAAACCAATCAACCCCGCATTACTACAAATAACTGCTCACTCCTGTATTACATATGGGCAATAAAAAGAATTACACTTGAGCTTTTCTGGGAAGAATATACATTTCTGGGTGCAACCTTCTTCTCAACTGTTCTTTTTTTTTGCCCTGTTGCTAATAAAGAACTCTGAGAACAACTTTTCAAATTCAAAGCTCACACTCTTCTTTGGGTTCCTTCTCCAGAACCTCCTCCCCTTGCCCCCACTTTATCATGGACTTGAGCTGCACCATTCTCTGAGAAATTAAAATGTAGCTCTGGAAGTGTCAGTTTCTATTAGTGTTTACAAGAAATTCTCCCACCCCAATTTCCTCAAGTCCTGTGGGTCCTGGGGACATCTGAGTATCACAAGCGTCACAACGGTGTGGGCTGTTTGGAAACTTCTCAGGTTGTTTGTGCTAGTGGATTTGTTCCAAGTGAGGCACATGTTAAAAAAAAATAAAAAACAAAAAAACCCAAAGAATGCTGAAGATAAAAAGAATGCAAAGGCTAAGGGAAAAGGGAGACTTCTTCAGAGCACAGGCGTGAACCAGGATAAGACTTAGTAAACAGCAGGCTGTTCAAGGGCACTCGAAACTCCATCACAGTTAGGATGACCCAGAAAGACTGAGGTTAAAAACAATGTCACACAGTCACTTAGAAGACAGTGATTTGGGACCTTCAATGTGTTTCACATCTTCTTTTATGTCACTTTCGGCATAGGTCACTGGATTCTTCTGTGATTTAAGCTGTTTACAGCTATATTTGAGTGGTCTTTGTTGACAAAGTTGTTTCCAAGCAATTTTCTAAAAACATTTTTATTACGGTTCCCTGTCATTAGCTGCTGTAATTTGTTTTCAGGGTTGATGGCCGGCACTGTAATTGCCTACAGAATGCTGAATAGGTTGTGTGGTCATTGCTTGTACCTCTGTGTTAAACTTGCTGCTGTTTCTTGAACCCCACTTCGGATTTAAAAGAATATGCCATTTACATCTTTAAAGAAGACAATTATTTTTGTAGCATTATAGTTTAGTATTCACTTAGCACTTACATTTCTAAGTCAATTTATTAAATACCCAGTCCTATCCTCGTGTGCTCTAAGCCCTGATTTCTAGACAAGCCACAGAAGCTGGGGAAGAGTAGCTGGCTGGTGAAAGGTTTCTCCCTTCCAGTCAGGTTACCCACTCTTTCTCCCAACCACCCCACCCAGTGGGGATCTGCACAGGCTGGCTGCATTACTTTGAAGTTTTGGGTTTGATGTTCTTGAATGTGTGAATAAATATATTCCAACACCACATATAGATTATTCTTGGAGTATTTGATGTTTTAGATTTTCCCCATCACTCCTCACTTTCATTCATTTATATCTCTCTGTTAAAACCCCAGCTGAGCTTTCCTTGTGTTTCAGACAATGAGTTTGGCATTGAAAAAGGAGAACCACAGTATCACCATGCAGACTGTTAAGAACACAATGGAAAATGCTGCCAGATGAGATGTGAAATGCTGTCTGAAGGATAGACTATGGGAGAACCAGTGGAATCATTTCTTTCTAGAAGGTCGGGCTGGCAGTTGTGCTTTTTTGAGGTGAAAGTTAGAAAGTCCAGTTTTGTATGTGTGCATTGAGTGGGAAGCAGGAGAGAAGAGTGAAGAAGAGATGGAGATAAATAGAATTCTTCCATGGATACACAACAGTATGGAGATTGGGAATTCAGGGAAATGTTTGTCACATATTTACCCTGATTTGAGAGTTTGTTGCAAGTAATGATAGTAAACAAAGCTGAAAAAATAGTTGAAGGAAGGTTATGGATGGTCTACAAACTGCTGCACTGTATGAACTTCTCTATTAAGCAATGTGTCCACAGTTTGGACCATAAGCAATTGAAGCAGCCAGAACTTTAGAGAGTGCAATAGGTACCACTGCATACAGTGGGATGGAGAAAGTTAGAGGGAGGGATAATTTATATGGTTGAGAAACTGAGTGACCAAATAACCAAGGGAACCAGAGCAAGGCCAAGAAAATAAGTATTAGAAAGCAAACAGTTAAGGATAAATTATACTGAAGAATGTTGAGATCAACAAAATTGAGCAGAGATTTCTGATTTTGTATCAATAAACATAAATCCTATCTTAAAGGGCTTGATCTTCATTTCCTCATTCAATAATTTATTTGGAGGTGATTCAAAAGTTCAGTACTATGAATGTCAGAACTCATTTGCTCATGGACTGCTCTGTCTCCACCTCCTTCTGCCTTTTTTTTACTCTACCCTATATTCTGCACCAAATTTACATGAAACTCCACTTCCTGCCAGCTTCCATAGAAAATCCAATTGTATCAATGATACTGTGACTTTTGCAGCTCACTGAGATGTGTGGGAAATTGGGAATACGGGGCACCTCAAAACCTTTGGCCATTTCACTAACAACACCCAATTTATAAAGCCTTCCCCCACACTCAGAAATCTTTCTTCTGACAAGTGGCCCTCCAGTTGCTCTCAGACATGGACTCCACAGCCCTGACTCCATCCCTATTCCATAATCTCGTTGTATAAAGATGCAAAAAGGAATAATAAAGAAAGAGCACCTACTGCCTATTGAGCATTTACTATAAGGCATTTCCAACTTTATGCCATTTTATAAGCAAGGGAAGAGAAGTAACAGAGAAGTTAAGCTTCACACCCAAAATACTTCAGATTGGAAGAGACAAAATTACCATCTGCCAAAATATCACATCTTAACAAAGCATCATATCACAATCATTTAAAATTATTCAGTACTGAGGACCCACTGTCCTAGACATCCTTTGGTTGAGAAATACAATCCAGATGCAAAAACCTCAGTAATTAAGGATGAAAAATAAATCAATAGGCAATTGATATATGATCCTTAAGGCGATGTTTTTCCAAATACCAAGCCTTTAATGGATACTTTGGTGCATTAGTTAACAGATGAAAGTGAACTTGATCTGACTGATTCTAGAAGATTTGATTTTGAGATGGAGAAAGCATCTGTCATTGTTCTGATGTATCAGTCAGTGTTTACTAGAGAAACAGATAGAAGATGTACAAACATATGAGAATTTATAAGATTGGCTTACAGTGGCCACCCACAGAGTCAGATGAGGAAGAGGGCAGAGGGTCTGTCTGGACCCTGGAGACCAAAGGATCCAGTCGAAGCTCTGGAGCTCACTGCAGTGTCCTGTGTGAGTTTGTGTCAGGAGGCCGATGGGTCTGCGACGGATGTGTGAAGAGTCTACTCCGAAAGGCTGATGGATCTGCACTGGAAGCTGAAGCGTCTATGCTGGAAGCCAGGAGGAGATGACGACCAAGGTGAAGGCGAAGACTGGAGCTTTGCTGAAGAAGAACAGAAGCGGACCCATCCTTCTTTAGGTCTTAGGCCATCCAGGCAATAAGCTGTACAGAATTGCAGAGCCAATTTAGTTGGACCTGTATTGCTGAAGTTGATACAATCAACCAACCATCACACCTGAGTGTGTCACTGATGCTAACATGGATCGGTGCCTTTACAGCAGCAGATGATTTTTATAGGGTTTTCACTAAATGCCACCCTTTCTCACTATTACAAGTTACATTTTACATTTGTTCCCCTAAAATTCATATGTTGAAGTCCTAGTGCTTGGACTTGTTTGGAGATAGGATCTTTACAGAGGCAATCATTAAAATGAGATCATGAGCATTGGCCTAAATACAGTCTGACTAGTGTCCTTATTAAGGGGGAAATGTAAGTTCGGAAATATGACCAGAGAGAAGACAGCGTGAAGAGGCACAGGGAGAAGATGGTCATCTACAAGCCCAGGAGAGAGGGATGAAGAGATTGCTCCCTCCCAGCCCACAGAAGAAACCCACCATGCCTACAACTTGACTTTGAACTTCTAGCCTCTAGGAATATGAGGCAATAACTTCCTGCTGTTTAAGCTACCCAGTTTGAGATACTCTGTGATGGTGGCTCTAGAAAATGAACACCTCCCACCCATCCACTCAGAACTATGATAGCTGGCATTTCCTCTCCTTTCTCTCAGTTCACTACATTCGTGAGAACCATCAGAATTAATAGCGTCTGATGAGCCGCCATGTTCTGAACAAGGTCCTATATAATGAGTTCACCCTGAGTTTCCTTTCAGTTGTGCTCCTCAAATGATTGAGTATATAAGGAGAAATATTTAAATATTACTTTCCCTGGATCAAAAAAATTAAACGAATGAGTTACTTTGGCAATTCTAACCACTTTTGAGTCCAAACTAGCGGTGGCTGGAGCAGATTCTAACACACACACACACACACACACACACACACACACACACACGTGCATTTTCCATGCTGCAGCTACACAGCAGAGCAATATTTCAAACAGGTTTTGAAACAAGTATATGCAGCTTCTTGCTGAAAATGTGTGAATGAACTGGCAGCCAAGTCAGCAGCCTCCTGTCCATTCCCACTTTAAAGTAATTTACAAGACAAGCTCAAACAGAACTCTCACAGTTGGTTACTAGAGGAGTTAATGACTCCTAGCTCAAAAGGAATGACTTTTTTGAATTATCCGTTTGACAAGTCTCCCTAAGGCAACAGCTTTTACCCCCTGCTCACTACCATAGTTGAAATTAGCAACCATGTATTAATTAGCTGAAGCCAGCGTCAGGAAGCACTAACCCTCAGCTTTTCTTTTTACGCACACTAAGTTCACACTAAGTTCACAGGAGAGGTAAGTAATTCAAAATGACCTGGAAGCCTCTTGTTGTGTGTACTGAAAGTTTTCCAGTAAATATTTTCTACAAGCTCCCCAAATTAAAGACCTTTCATCTCAGGAGGTCTGACTTTCTTGGAAAGCAGTTAGTTGTGGACATGAAATAATTAGAGAGTTCATGGACCTATGCCTCTCACCAAAGCATTTCCTTCACTGGCTTGTTTGCAAATGTCTGGATTTCACAATAAAATCATCGGTTTTAGAATTAATCATTGCCGTCCCGTCTATTAACCTCTGGTTCCTCCCTGAAATGTCTTTCTCAGATGGATGGAGGCCCAGGGGAGACAGACCCTAAGGGCCATACCAGGCTCTGGATGTTGAGGCTCAGCTTTCCAGGGAGTGCTGGACACCTGGTAGCCTAGAAACCAGAAGAAGAACAACTCTTGTCAAGAGCTGTGCAATTAAGTCAGGACTGGCACACTGTTACAGTCAGGGCTGGGCTCCCAGAATGCCTCATGACTGAGGCCAAGGATATATTGTTCACAGTTTAGTAGTATCACCCAGTTAAGAAGCCCATCATTGGATGGATGGATCACATTTTAAGTAGCCCACCCATTATGAATTGGGCCTTTGTGTGTCACTTTCTATGTGATTCTAATGATGACAGCTGCATGAGAGGCCTGGTACCTAGTAGGAGTTTCAGGGAGTCACTAAACAACACCAGAAAGGAAAACAGAGGACAAATTTCTCCTAGTCAGTGCTTGTAGATGTCTGTAGAAAAATGACTTTCCATTCTCAATGTGTGTATTAGCTGTCACTGTAATAAAATACTCAAGACAAGTGATTTAAAAGGATGAAAGATTTATTTTGTCTCATGGGTTCAGAGGCTTCAGTCATGGCCTCTTGGCTGTGTTGCTTCTGGACCTGTGAGGAGGCAGAACATCATGCAGGGAGCATGCAGGGGGAGCAATGCTCGCCTCATGGCAGCCAGGAAGTAGAGATGGAGAGCAGGAGAGGAAGATGTCCCCTAAGGCTACACCCCTAGTGACCTACTTCCTCCAATGAGGCTGAGTTTCCACCGCTAGAGTTTCTACCTCTTCCAATAGTGCCACCAGCCAGAGACCAAACCTTCAAGACAAGAGCCTCAGGGGACATTCTAGACCCACACTGTGACAGTGTGTGCTGTTATCAATAGAGAGAACAGAGATGCTCTGGATACTGAGTCACAGAACTTTGGGGGACTGGAGTGCAGCTCAGTGGTACGGCACGTGCTTGATATGCACTTTCCAGAGGGAAGGGAAACTGAGAGGGCTGGCTGGCATCTGAGACCCTCTGTTTACCAGGTGACATCCAGGCTCCCGTTCCCACCAGGGCCAGCTGCATAGTGTATGGAGATAGTACAAAATGAAAACACAGCGCCCCTTATTGGAAAAGCAGGAAGAGGGTGTCATTAAAAGTACTAGAGACCCTTTTCCTTTCTCTTGAATTATCACGATTTTAAAACTTTATTATTTGATGTTCTAAGCAGAGGAAATCACATTTAAAATTATTTGGATAAATTTTACCATTTATCTTTATAGGAGGCAATGATACTTTTAAGTGGCTTTTAACTCATACGTGGAATCACCAAAACTACACAATTCTATCTCATACCCTGTACCTGTACAACTATTTTATTCTTACCAGAATGGCAGAAACTACAGGAATTGTCTTATTTATTTCACTCTTTTTTTGTTGTTGTTTTTTTGCATGTGTGGTACTGGGAATTGAACCCAGGGCCCATCACACTGAGCTATATCCCCAGGTCTTTTTAAATTTTTCATTTTGAGACAGGATATTGCTAAGTTGCCCAGGTTGGGCTTGAAGTTGTGATTTTCCTGCCTTGGCTTCTCAGAGTGCTGGGATGACAAGTGTGTACCACAACACCTGGTTTATTTCACTTCTTGATAACCATTCTGTCCCATCATCTCACTGGTGAATCAAGGAGCAGAGCCTGTGTGGTTGGCTTACACGAGAGAGAAGTGTAAGTAAGAGAGGACAGGATAGGCTCCTTGGTCATTCATGTTTCCTCAAACATTGTTGTGTTTTTGCTACATTTGAAGCAAGTTCTGGTTTGGAGGGCAGTGGTGGCCATGGTCACTCAGTGTAGAGAGAAAGCACTTAATCTTCATTCATTCAGAGTCTCACTGGACACCCACACATAAGTCCACGGTATCTCTGTGTCCATGGGGTGCTGTAGACTGTGCAAACAGTTCCCAACTTAGGATGATTCAACTTAATAATTTTTCAACTTTACAACAGTGCAAAATCTACTGGTCTGCATAGAAAGCATACTTCAAATTTTGAATTTGAACCTTGGCACTAACAACATATGGTGGGTTCCTCTCTCCTGATGTTGGACAGGGGTAGTGAATGCAGCTCCCTGTCAGTCTTGTGATCATGAACGGCACAACCGACACCAACACTCTACATGGACTCTGTTGCTGAGCTAGGATGGTTGGTAGGTTGGGGGAATTCAGTGCATTTTTGACTTAGGATGGTTCAAACCTGCAATGAGTTTACCTGGATGTAACCCCATCACAAGCCAAGGACCATGTGTATGAGCAAACGGTATAGGCACAAATGGTGGAAGGCACACTGGCCACATCTCTGCTCACATAATACTCCACTGTCCCACTGAGCTTACACTTACAAAGTATAAGCTCAAAGATAATTTTTTTGTTATGTCTGTGTGTGGTACTGGAGATTGAACTCAAGTGTCTTCACACTGAGCTACAACCTCAGCCCTTTTTATTTTTATCTTGAGATAAGGTCTCCCTAAATTGCTCAGTCTGGACTCTAATTTGCCATCCTTGTTTGTTGAGATCATAGGGGTGTGCCACCACATTTGGCCTCAGATAAAATTATTAAGACTTTCAAGACAGAAACAGCACAACATTAAACCAATTCCAGGCTCTTGTGAGTGCAAGGTCCTGTGTGACTGCCCAGTTACATGCTACAGCGCTGGCCCTGGTGCCACAATGCACCATGTGAATTTCAGTCATTGTCTAGACAGAGGAAATACTCCTGACTCCCCCTAAGCTTATTTAGGTCTCCTCTTTAGTAAATAACACCCTCCCACACCCACACATAAACTCATCACTCCAAATATCCTTCACTTATTGCTCCTTCTTATCTCATTTGTCTCCATTCTCTTTCTTTCTGTCTCAGTATCTCTCAAAGTGCAGTATCTCTGCTATGTGCATTTGGCTTGTTGTGATTGTGGTTATGGTTTGAATGGCCCCCTACCCTGGCTCTGGAAAATTGTTGAAGTTCTAAAACCTAATGGGTCAGAATGTGATTTTATTTGGAGACAAGATATTTACAGAGGTGATCAATTTATAGTTAGGTATGAGGGTGAACCCTAATCCACTATGATTAGTGTCTTTATAAGGAGGGCAAATTTGGACCTAGAGACAGTCACACATAAAGGGAAGATAGTGTTGTCTTAGGTCAGGCTGCAGTAGCAAAATACCACAGTCTAGGTGACTTAAGAGAAATTGATTTCCTCACAGCCCTGGGGACTGGAAAGGCCAATATCAAAGTGGCTAATGATTTGTTTCTTGGTGAAGGCTCTTTCTGAATTGCAAAGAGCTTCTCTTCTTGCTTTGTTCTCACATGGAAAGGTTGGGGTGGGTGGAGCAAGTGCACAATCTTCTGGTATCTCCTCTTA